TGGCTAGGAACATGAAAAAGATTTTCATTTAACTAACCAAAGTACAAATAGTTCGGTGCTAGAGTTAATACGCAGTAAATTTGTTTTTGTTTTTTATCTAATTGAAACAAAGCACGCAAAGTAGAGTGTTTTGTTGCGTGGAATAAAAAAATTCCAATTCTTGAAAATTTTCAATTGCTTTTCATTCAAAGTCTGATTTGCGTTATGTATGGCAAATAAATTTACTCTAAATAGGTTTCTGTTATTGAAGGACGGAATATTTCAATGTGATCTTTACTTTAGAAACAAATACCATGGTTTCATATCTTGTTACTATTATATTAATTTTTATGTTTTATAACTGACTGTTTCCAATAACTTATAACTGTATTCCTTTTTTAAAAATGTATCAGAATTTATGGTTTTTGATATTATTTTAATGGATGATCGTATAATATGTCATATGGTTCCACTTAAAGGAACCCCGCTGTGGTGCCAAAGGAAAAAAACAACATATATATTTCTTACATAAATCACCTGAAAACGTAAAAGATATTCGAGAGATAATAATTTATCAAGAAAATAAATATACTCAGTAAAGAATGCAAATAATTATTCTGGAAAGACAGAGATACCGAATGATTTGAATTTTTGCACACAAGTTATTGTTTAGACCTACATAAAATGGAAAATATAACATAAATTCTCTGAAATGTATTTCTAGTCAGACATATCAAAAACCTCAGTTGAGCACCTTTCAACTCCTTAGTTAAAATATAACATGTTGCGGGTGTTTTTGGTTAGTTATTAAGACGTTTGAGGTTATATGGGGCCCTATATAAACAGTTGTTTGAAAATATAACCCGAACCACCACGTATTTATATCGAATTCATTAAACCGCAATTTTTTTTTCAGAGGAAAAAGTGAAGTTTCTTAATAAATTGACATTAGTCTTGTATATAAAACTATTTAAACTTCACGATTATCCAATGAAAAGCGACGTTACAAACGAGCAATTTTATAGCTTTTGAGAAACATATATCTTGATCTGAAAATAAATTGAGTAAATATCAAATATTACAGATCTATGACAAACAGAAATCCCGTTGTGTTACTGATGACCATTTAACATCTACTTCCTGATACAACCAGCATAGGTTTAAACCACTATGCAGGTATATGACTTAGACAAAATATTATTGAAAACATTTCAAAGGACGTATGTGTATTTCTAAGACTAGCTGCAGAATAATCAGTCCTTATGTGATTTTTGAAAAGGTAATATCTTTTAGTTTGCCGCAGAGAAATCAAGTATCACCCGGATCTGAAAACCCTTAGCACATGCTTGAGCGGTACTCAATTCTCAACACTTAATAGTGCTGGCATCAATGATCCCGACGGACCAGAAAAATATAACAACACTGATGTGAAGTACGGAGCAACTTTTTACAGCTGCCACACTGCACTTGACACCTGCTGTTGTGAAGTATAAAAATCTGGAAACAAAGTGATCCCTCGGAAGCATTAATCACAACAAAATTACGTAAGAATTGCAGACTCAGTTTGATTGAGTCTGTACATGAGGGATAATGAATAAGTGCAACATCCCCCACGCCCCCTAGCACCGGCTTGAGCGGTACTCAATTCATAAAGAAGATCATACATATTTTTATAAAGATAGTGTGTATATGTAAAAAACAAGCACAAGTCGATATGATATATGTATAGTTTAGTTTATGTATTGAATATTTTGTTATCGCTTATATACTGATTTCAAATAAGCTTTTCAAGCTTCTTACTCTATCGCAAATTTTATTTCATTGATAAACCTTATTGCGCAAATGCATAGATCATAAATAAGTATGTTTTAACGTAATGTCCGAGCGGACCAAAGACTCCGCGATGACTGTACCACTCTTGAATCCCGCATATAAGTTTAATTGAAAACACTCAATGAAAAAAAATATGTCAATTTTTTTTATACAATAGAACATCACGTTATAAAACGCTGACAGTCAGATGGTTATATTTGATAATAATTTAAATAAACACATATATTTTAGCTGCGGCAACTTTGACACCTGCTACCGTGAGTGGTTCTTAGGGAGCTTTGACAGTGACAAATGCCGTAACTTTTAGAAAAACAACATTATCACCTTGGACTTTGATTGTACATATTGCTGTACTTCAGACAACTGCAATAAACCGATTAAGCCCTTGGACGAAGATCTGTACAAGACAAGGACTTGTAACAAATGTACCAATTTGCATTGTTTGTTGTATATTAAATCTTAAATTATTTTATACAGAATTTATTTAAGTCCGGTTTTGCAGGAAGCTAAATGATTATTCACACACTCTCGAATCCGTTCCTGGAACCAACAAGTACCAAACAATGAGTGTTAGACATTTTTGCTCAAGGACCCAGCTTGCCCCTGACGCAGTTTGAATCTACACGGCTTTTGATCCTTATATTACTAGTTCGATACGTAAATCAATCGGACAAGCCGCCACGAAATATCTTTAGTTACGGTCAACCCTTTGCAAGAAATCAAATCTAAGCTACTACGTATTGGATGAACTGTTTAGTAAGATATTTACGGAAACGTTAAAGGACCTCCATTTAGTGCGATCATGATGTGTATGACGACTGATCTTTAATCGATTTGAAAATATATTTTAAAACTACGGAACCTTTTCAGCACGGAAGCTGTAAACGGCCACCTGTTACGAGAAGTTCCTCATTTGTTTCTCTTGTTTTTAGACGTTAATACCAACAAGTTCTCATTAAGTCGTACAGAATTAAGCAAATGTTTATAATGAAATGTTGTTTCAGCAACATACATATATGTCCTCCACCTGGTCAGTCCTAAACAACAAACAAATCGCAAACGGATTTCAGCTTCTGGCTTCCGGTTTTAGTTCAGTAAATTCCTCAGTTTCCAGCTTCCGGTTTAAGTTCGATAAATGCCTCAGCTTCTGGCTTCCGGTTTCAGTTCGGTAAATGCCTCAACTTCTGGCTTCCGGTTCTAGTTCGTTAAATGCCTCATCTTTGGACTTCCTATTCTAGTTCGGTAAATTCTTGTGGGCTCAAAGTTCTGCTAAGATACCTTAAGCTGTGTCGTCTTTTCAAGAACGTGTCGCTACTAGTCGTAGGTAAGTGTTTATTGTTGTTTTTTCCTCTTTGTTGTTGTTGTTGGTGTTGTTGTATTCAATTGCGTCTTTAATGATCTTGACATTGTTCTGGAAATCGCTTCGACATCTCGATCCAATTCTTTGAAAGAATTATTCTCACACACAACCAATATATCTTCTGGCTCCGTGTAAACTAAGCATAAGATTTAGGCATCAGTCAGTATCATGATCAGAATAAGAAACAGATTTGATATTCAATATTTATCTAAATTTGATGCTGAAACGACACATGTAAGAGGAGCTTCTTTGATCCTGAGCATAGAATTCTTTTATTATATATATAAATGAAGGGAAGCAATAAAAAATCAAAATACAAAATGGATTAATCTGGAAAAGATAAGATAGATCTTGATGCTGTTCATTTTCTTATGAACATGGGGCCTGGTCATTTTGAAATGGTATTTGCATATGTATTGTATTGTATTTGACTGTCGGCCTTTATCTTTATTTGGTAACATCCAATTCTTCTGTCGAGTGTTACATACTATATCATTATAATTGACGCTGTCAAATAATACTAAAAAAACTAAAATAATAATAATAATAATAATATTTATAATAAATAAAAATAATAATAATAATGATAATAATAATAGAAAAAAATAATAACGAAATCACGTCACTTCAAATCAGTAAATTTCCCCTTTTATTTGATTATTTTCAAATGTGACAGTAAATGTTGAAGGCAATTGTTATTGGAAATTTTTTGTTCGCATATTTTTGCAAAAAAATAGCTTTCACTATGATATTTGTCTTTGATATTTAACATAAGTATCGAAATCGGTGCTCTAACAAGGCATACTAGTAGATGTTGTTGATAACTTGTGTCGCCTTGCTCTGAAAAATAAAAAAAAGAAGAACGATATTGTAAAATATTTGATGCAAACAAAAAATGAACGTTCTCTCGAATTCTATATTTGAACGTGAAAATTACATTTTATTTCAATCATATTAACGTTTTTGAAAAAGGAAATATTGTTAGAATTATTAAGTGTTTGAAATTATATTTTGTCCAATAGGATCGCAGTATTTCAAATGAATCGTTACACATTTGGTATGGTAAATCGGCAAACTGTTAATCAGTCTGGTTAATCGTCTGTTTATAAAAATAATTTAAAACACTTAGCCGGTTAAAATGTATTTTTGTAAAAACGTACTAATAAACTTTAACAAAAACTTAAACATCATTTATGTTAATACAAATTGACAACTTATTTGTTATTGTTATTGCTGTTTTTTCCTCTACTATTTTTACTGTTAAATATAGGAGTGACACGGCCGAGTGCAGTCTGTCTGGGTTGCCGTTCCAGTATACAGATCTCTGTAATACATTGACCATTACTTTCGGTCATTCTATATTTATTCTAAATTTTAAGCTACTTTATGTCACAAGTGACAGTTTTGCAAATAATAAAGATCAAACAAAAACACAAATTATCATGACATTACCGAATATAATTAGACTTGTAAATTATACATGTATATCAGCTTCTTTAAAGCGGCGCTTCTCCAGATTTGTTGTAATTGTGATTTTACTATTATTGTTAATTTGTTGTTGTTATTATTATAACAGAAGCGACCCATAATTTGTCAAAATATGTGAAAGTTTCTTTAAGTCCTGAATTTTATTAATTTGCATGTGTGGACAGTAAATTTTGCCTTATTTACGGAATGCATTAAAAGTTTCATCTTGATTATGAAAACATATCATAAAAACTTTTTTTACTCGAGAATTTTATTAATTATTTTATTTTTAAGTGCATTTTTATGCAATGCCATATCTGGAGGCGTGTCACTATTAACGAGCCGCTTTAAACGCTTACATTTAGCACGTCTCGGTCGCATTTATCTCCTCTTCCTTCGGAGGTGAGTACTGGAATGTGACAGTGTTGTGGAAAATGCCACTGGACACCATTCTTACTACAGAATGTTGGCAGCCTAATACAAACTTTTCAGGAGAGTCTGAAAGTCAAAAAATAAAGTTGTAGAACGACAAATAAAAAGTGATTATTACTTATCGGCACATTATCCCTCAGAACTGTTTCTATTTTTGTTTTTCTGAAGCTTTTTAATTTTGGTGTACTTTTATAGTATCCGTAAAATACTCATTGGCCAATTTATTGGACCATCTTTTCATCTGTTGCTTTTTCGACAATAAGTTAAGTTATTCAAATAGCGGTAAAGTTTACGCAGTAAAGTTTTTTATTGCATACTTTGACCACTTATCTGATAATGTTCGTTGATTGTGAGTACCATTTGCAATGTGTAAAGTATTATTCTTTGTTTACTTGACACTATTTTACTTTCAATACCTTTTTAAAAATTTCATGACTATTAGCATGAAAATGACGGCGTGCTTCTGTAATATAAAATTGTAAACCTAACGCTTTCTTGTCCCTATTTGGTGTTCTCCAGCTCTATATACAAGTATCCAATGTCAATCAATGAAGACTTAAGTAAACTTGTCCAAGTATTGTTTAAAGGCCTGCTAGGGACTCGCCTTTAAAACACTTAACAGAGTCAGTTAGTTTAACGATCGGTGTTCCTTCTCATGTGCTTATGCCTTTTAATAATGCACCGATGTTAACCTGGGGCTTCTTTTTCAACCAGTAAAACTGAAAAGTTGCCGTTTGACCATTGCAGGGACTTTTTCCGCTAAAAAGGTCTATCATCGGCCCATAACGTAGCAATTCGGTTATTTCCGTAACGTTATATTTTCAACATCTTTGGCATAAGATTATTTACGATCTCTCATCCTTTATAGCTATGTACTAAATTCTTGTGTATAAACGATTGAAAATTATTTAATAGCAAAGATTGTAAAAAATCTACGTTCTGGAAAAGACCGATTTATTACGATATTTGCCGATGTTAGAATTACTTTGGCGGGAAAGTATTACAGTAAGGCTACTTATAAACAATTGATTACCGTATCTTTGAGGCCGGTTTCCGCTTCAATAGGTTTAGTTTCTGACGTCACGCCTACATCAACGTTCAGCATGTGAATTTGCTCAGGGTAGATGATAGACGTCGTGCAATTACGACGTAAGCCGTAATTCTTCATAGTTAGTGTTCCCATATCAAACATGGCCACTGCGTTACAGGCTGAAAATATAATATTTCAATCCAATAATAACAGTCAAAGGAAACATTATTCGATGCACTTTTACAAAAACGGTTTCAGCTTCACGAATTCAAGATTGCAAGTACAGAAGTTTCAGTTTCTTGCGAAAGTGAATTCAACTAGTACTTGTAAACTGTTCGACACCCTTCCCAGGAACGGCGCGGTGTCTGAATTGTGCTCTTGTAAATTCAATGTAGCTTATTGGCGTGATCCAGAGTGAAACCTACGAACACCACGTCCAGGTAAGCAGTTAAATAAAAATCAAATAAAAAATGAAATAAAAAGAAAATAAAGTATATTTCCATTCTTATATGCTCATAGAAACAAATAATCACAAATTATTAAGGTAAAACCGGCGGATAAAAGATTTCTCTGATGTCAGATTGTGAATTATGGTCATATATGAAATATGATAAACAGGATCATCAAGGAAAGGTGGCCCTAACACGACCCATCACTAAGAACCTGTGGCAAGGAGCCCAAGAGGACCCCAAACAAAAACAGGATAGTGCGATAGGCAAAGAGAGGAAAGGATAACCACTAAAATGATGATGTAATTCACGGGCTGTATCCAAACTTGATAAGCCGTTGCAAATAGTACTAGTATAGAACCAGGCCAGCTTGCAAATCCGCAGCTTACATATACCATGTTATACACTGTTGACGGCTCAATTTTATGTTTTGATATTTTTGTTTGATATTCAACCTTTAAGTGTACTTTTTGCGATGCTGTCAAATCTATTACACTAGATAACAGGTAAAATATTAATAAAAATTGATAACTATATTTTTCTTAGCTAAAAAAAAAATTTAAAAAGTACGTTACACATTGCTAATATATAGCGGAACTCACGGTACACATTCCGTATATACTGCACTTAATATGTACTTGTATACGGTAAAGAGCTTGGGTTACCGAGGATGGGCTTTATAGGTTTGCAATTATAGCATGGTGAAAATTAGTAATTGTATAATACCATTTCATATACTAGTACAGTCAATAAATGAACAAAAAATCATGTTTTCCACTAATGCGTATTTTTCTTGTTCGAAAACAAATGACAAGATTACAAATATTCAGTTTTTAATTATGTTGCTTTGGAAGAGAATAAGACAACATTACTGTGAAAAGAAAGCCCCTTTTATTCATTTGTTTCCAAAGAAGGCATTTTATACAATATTCAGAAAAGGGCTGGGTTACAGTTTTTACAATAAAATTTCGAAGAGAAAAAGTGACATGATATTATTTTTGTTATGACATTAGACAGTTGGCGGTGTTTTGTGTGTTGTTTTTTATTATTACTTTTTCTTATTAGTATTACTATTTTAATTTAATTATCTTTTGTTTGTTCTTTCTTGGCAGTGTATTTAATCGTCTATTTATATCATTATTTATATTTTTTTTTTAAAAGCTTGTAATGAGTTAAAATTAGGAAAAGCGGCAGGTCCAGACTTAGTTTTAAATGAATTTTTTAAGTATGGGTCTCAAAATAGATTTTTCTTAGCTTTCCTTAAAAATTTATTTAACAAAATTTTTGATCTCGGTTATTTCCCTGAAAAGTGGACTGAAGGATACATCATCCCTATACACAAAAAAAGTGATACAGAGGAACCTGGAAATTACAGACCAATTACTTTATTAAGTACTATAGGCAAGCTATTTACTAAAGTTTTGAATAACCGATTAAATTGTTGGGCCGAAGATAATAATGTGTATATTGAAGCACAGGCAGGCTTCCGAAAAAATATGGGAACGATTGATAATATCTGTATTCTACATGGATTAATTAATCATATGCTTAACAATAACAAAAAACTTTTTGTAGCCTTTATAGATTTTACCAAGGCATTTGATTTTGTTGTACGTGATATAATATGGTATAAATTACTTAAGTTAGGCATTAGAGGAAAGATACTAGATGTCATAAGATCAATGTATAATAATGTTAAATCTAGAGTTAAGCATTTAAATACAGTTAGCACTGATTTTTCATGCATGTTGGGCGTTCGTCAAGGAGAATGTATTTCGCCTTTTTATTCTCAATGTACTTAAACGACATTGAGGAGCATTTCATATTACATGGATTTGATGGTGTAAACTTAGTTATGTTCAAACTTTTCCTTTTGCTGTATGCTGATGATATTGTGATTTTTGCTGAAACCGAAACTAGTTTACAAAAAGGTTTAGATCTGTTATTTGACTATTGTATGAAATGGAAACTAACAGTTAATGTTGAAAAAAACAAAGGTAATTGTATTTAGAAAAGGCGGCACAAACAGAAGAAATATGAACTTCACATATAATGGTCACACTGTAGACATTGTTAAAAAATTTTTCTTATTTAGGTATTACATTTACCACAGGTGGTTCTTTTAGTGCAACGCACGAGGCATTAGCAGGCCAGGCGTTGAAGGCAATATACAAACTCAAGTCTTATTTAGTTAAATTCACTAATATTGATGTTAAACACTCCTTAGAACTATTTGATAAGTTAGTTGTTCCTATTTTAAACTATGGATGTGAAATATGGGGATTCAAAGAAACAAATGTTATAGAAAGAATACATTTACAATATTGTAAACAACTTTTAGGATTACGTGCCCAAACCAAGAATAATTTTGTCTATGGAGAATTAGGTCGAACAAGTTTATTTTCTAATAGGCTAATATGTATAGTACGATTCTGGTTTAAAATATTAGAATGCGAATGCACAAAATATATAAGACATGTATACGATATGATGTTAAGAGACTTAGAAATGTATCCTAATAAGATTTCATGGGCCTATAATATTAAACTTTTACTAGACTCATTAGGTTTTAATCATGTGTGGCTATTCCAAGGAGGTGGAAACAAAAATATTTTTATAGATGTATTTAAGCAAAGAATGTATGATAATTGTTTACAACTATGGAACGCTCAATTGGAAAATTCGACAAGAGCAAGGACATATAAACTTTTTTCATGTTTTAGATATCAGCCATATTTAGACATTGTTAAAATTACTAAATTTAGAAAAGCATTAACAAGACTGATAGTGTCATCCCATTATTTAGAGGTAGAAGCGGGTAGATGGCATAGGCCACAAAAAATATCATTTGACGAAAGAAAATGTAGACTTTGTAATACTCTAGAGGATGAGTTTCATTTTTTATCTGAATGTCCCCTGTACCAAGATATTAGACAAATGCATATGAAAAAATATTTTTGGAAGAGACCTAATGTGATTAAATTTAGAGAACTATTTGAATCTGAAAATATTTGGATTGTTAAAAATTTAGCAATATTTGTTTACAAAAGTTTTGATAAAAGAGACAGTGCATTGTATCAACGATAACCTTGTCCTCTCACTATTTCATATAAAAGATGCTTATATCAAGTCATTGATGTTATCATATACATTTTATATGTATCACATATATAATAGACTAGATATGTTATAATGAATAAGTATTGACTTTTTAATTGAACTATTTTATGTATACCATGCTATATCATGCCATTGATGTTAAACTGCTGATTGTATTATTACTGTGTACTGATGGGCATATTGCCTTTGTATGAATAAAATTTATCTATCTTTATAAAGACTTTTGCAGGTAATTGGCCCGATATAAACGGTTGTTTTCATATATAACCCGAGCCGCTAAAACTCAAAAATCATTATAACGAATTTATAATGCAGCAAAACTTAGTTTTTTAGAGAGAAAAACAAACTGAGATTTCTTCATAAATTGACAGCAGTCGTATATATAAAACTATGTTAACGACACGATTAGCTAATGAAAACGGCGTTACAAACAGTATTTAATATCAATTAAAGACTTCTTACGTTGGGGATTATTTTTGAAATTCACGAACACTTTAAATCCCTCGCCTGGATTGGGGAGTCTAAACTGTATCAAGGCAACGTTTTGTGATGATATAAATATTTTCTTTGGCCTAGTTTCTCCACAGTACATGTGATACCTCTCTGCCAGACTGAGGGTGTGGTCATTTTCACTGGGGAACAAGTCACCCTGGAGCTCCCAGCCGTCTAATGTCTTCAGGAATAAATTATATTGAATGAATTTATGAAACAACTTATATATAAAGAACGGAAAATAGAAAAGAAATGATGTGTAAACCCATGGTCATGTTGTTTGATCAATGGCGCATTGATGGATGATATATCATTCATTCATTCATTCATTCATTCATTCATTCATTCATTCATTCATTTATGCATTCTTGCATTCATTTATTCATTTATTCATTCAATCATGCATGCATACATTCATTCATTCATTTATTCACCACTGACTCAATAATCAATGGATTGCTGGACGCGTCGGTTCGAATCCTTCAGGGATAACCCGTCGTTCCCTTGAGCAAGCAACATAACATAAAATTACTGAAAGACATGGTTTGAAACAATACAAAACTATTTTTTTTAACATAAATTAAAAGCTATATGCCGCTTTAACCACGACTTTTTTAAAACTTTGTTTTCACTTTCAAGAGACGAAATGAGTTTTTTGTCATAATTGATTGTCGTAAAATTAATTTCGAATGAAACAAAATGATAAAAGACATTGCTACAATGACAATTATTTTCTTTCTTCCAATTTGTTATTAAGTCAAATTTCAATTTAATCCTGTATTGAAAATTCATTTCACAGTTTCTTAAAGTAGCATGCCTGCAGATTTATGTTGTTTTATAAAAAATAATGAAGAAACAGAATAAAAAACACAACAACAAAATCAAGTTATGACAAGTGAACAAACAAAATTTAAAAACAAAACGTAAGTCTTTACTTACAAGCTTAAAAAAATTACATTTATAGGAACTCTTTGACACATATGGACTTAAAGAATTATCATTAAACGATCAATCTGAAACAATAAATCTTTAACCATAAAATCTTGAACTATAACCTATAAACCTTAACCATCAACCTTAAACAATAAAACCATAATTCTTAAACCATAAAACCTAAAACCATAACACATAAACCTTAAACAAATCATAAACCTTAAACCATAAAGCCTAAAACCATGAAACATAAACCTTAAACTATTAACCCTAAAACCATAAACCTTGAATCATAAAACCTAAAGCCATATACCTTAAACCTTAAACAACAAACCATCAACTATTAACCTTAAACAATTAACCTTAAACTTTAAACCATCAACCTTATACCATAAAAAATCTTATTCTAATCTACGGCGGCACTTGAAACAGATATAAACTAGTTATATAAACGCGGATAATAATAAATACACTCGGGTTACATAATGATGATGACGGTGATGATGACGACGAAACGACGATAAAGACAACGATGATGATGATGATGACGGTGGTGGTGGCAGTGGTGGTGGTGGTGTTTTTTGTGGTGGTATTGTTTGTGGTGGAAATGGTGGAAAAAGAGATTGTGATGCAATGATGCTGCTGCTGCTGATGATGATAACAACAACAGGAACAACAACAATTAAGTAACACTTAAATTACAGTGAAATACTATTGGTGAAAAACCAACAATACTTTTTTCAGACACTGTTTTTTAAAATCAAATGTTTTACACTTTTGTATTGCTACCTCCTAAATCTAACAAGAAATAAAACCCGGAGCAGTTATCAAGCCATGATTGTTAACTAAGATTAAAAACCAAACCAAAAAGCTTTAATTTGACAGGGTGTTGTTAGTCTGCGGAAATGTATTGACTAAGTAATTGAACAATTTGCCTGAAAATCACAGACCGTATTTCAGACAAATTTTAATCCTCTTAAACCAAAATTGTGATGCAATACCTCTAAAAACTTAATTTGCTGATGTTTTTTTAAACTGTACAGTAAATGGATTTAGCCTGAATAGAGGTATTGGAAGCGGTTTTTAGAGGGATCACTCTTTCTCTAGATTTTTAAAATGCCCCTGGATTTAAAAAATAAGCTTATGCAAAGAGCTGCGTGTTTGTTGTTTGTATTTAGGAGAAATGCTTGAAAAGAAAATAGTTAGAAGTTATGATTTTGTAAATATTTTGAGTGTAAAACTTGAAGAATTAGTAAAATAGGACAAAAGTGACAGCTTCCACACAACACTCAACAAAACTAGCGAACAAGAAAATGCGACATCCCTCGAGAGCGGTGACAGAAGAAATACCTTGACATAATGAAATATAGATCAAAAAGAGAAACAATTGGTGATTATTACGACATTAAAAATATGACACACCGCCAAAACACCTCCGGTTTCACAATTAACGTTGAATTCTAGAAATGCTACAACAACAACCTCGTTTGGTTGACCTATAAGATACAGGCCACATACTTCTGTTGAACCGTCGGATACATATTGTTATTCCCCTTTAACACTTTCCATATGTATACATCCTGAAATATAGTTGTAAACTGGTTCATTATTATATCGTAAACATTCGGCATATTTCGGTAAAAATGCGGCATGTTTCGGTATAAGCCCTATACTTCTGTTGACTAGTTCTGCATGTACTGTAACACTTTTTTTGACTCTTTCGATTTGTGTAAATCCTAAAATAAGGTTCATTATAATCTCGTAAACAATCGACATATTTTGGTATATTTCGGCAGTGTTCGGCATATTTCTGTATAAGCCCCAGACTTCTGTTGAATTGCAAGAAACGCTTTGTTAAACTACTTTGACACTTTAACACCTTTGGTATGTATACATCCTAAGGAAAAGTAATAAAATGGGTCATTATAGTCTCGTGTACATTCGGCATATTTCGGTAAGTTTCCGTATAATCACCGACTGTCTTCTGATGAACCATAAGACACAAATTGCAATATTGCAACTCACCTTTTTTACTTTCTATATCTATACATAATTCATATAATAATTATTTTCATTATTACAACTAAGTATCAAGGCTAATAATAATCACTCAAACATTCGGCATTCTTCGATACATTCCGGTATACATTTTGTATTTCGGTAAATATTTCGACACTTTCCGTACTTGTTATTAAATTGTTATTTGTAGCTTAGCAGACTTTTTTTTAAAAATTGAAGTTGAACAGGCTTATTTAGTGGTTGTGGTTTAATGATGTAATAACTATTGAGGTAATATGTCGCATAAGTTGTTGGATATGTTTTCTACAAAAATATCTATAAATAATTAAATTGAAACATTAAATATATATTACAGAAGATTTACACAACAGTAAAATGATTGGCACTGCTATACTATGTGACAAAGTCATGACTGTATCGTACTTTTGGAGATTTTGTCTGATGTACCACGGAGCGAATATGCAACATGGCACAAATCAGCCACCATAAGAAATTGATGGAAAAATATGTTATTAAGCAATGTTTTGAGAATTCCTTTCTGATTTTTATATGTTATGAATATAGAAATGCCACGGCAAAACAAAAACAAAACATGGATAATATCTAAACGTTTCTTTTAGCCTTTAAGAGAAAAGACCCATGTAATAAAGCTTATTCTGTAAGGTAATTAACTGTAATATCGTTGCTTAGTTACAAATGTCAACAACAAGAGCTTCCGATTTCCTAAACTGTATAATTACATGTTTTATAAATCATAAACATTGTAAATAATGATGCTGATGACATTGTTACACGCTGCTTATGATATTTTTATATGAGAATATTGCATTTAATGAAAAGTTTTTAAAGGTATATTTACGACGGAGACACGTGGGGCATCGATATTGCTTTGTAAGTAAAAGGAAATTACCGAAAGGATTGGCATTTTAACGAAAATATTTAAGAAAAGAAAAATAGTTTACCTGATTACCCAAATGAAACTGTTATATATTAATATTTAAGGTCATGTTGTTTAATATTAAATAATATTAATTGAAGTGTGAGGTTTTTATGAAAGGATTGGCATTTTAACGAAAAGATTTACGAAAATGAGAATTGTTTTCTTGATTAGCCAACTAAAACTGTTAAATGTAAAATTAAGATATTAAAATTTAAGGCCATGTTATTAAATATGAAACAGTATTGATTGAAGTATAGGGTATAAGTGTTTTCGCTATCATATTTACAATATAAAACGAAAGGCTACAGCATCTAGGCAGTGCATCAGTTTAAATCAGTGTTTGTGAAAGTTTTGAAGGCAATGTTAAAAGGCAACATTCCCAACCCCACCCCCAGCCTATACTCCTTATAATTTTCTGCAAAACATTTGAGATGCTTGAAGAAAATTAAATTTCTAATCAAGATATTTAATTTATCAGTACTACCACACTTTTTTTGCAATATATAGTTTAAACGCCAATGAGGAATGATTGTCGTGGCCACAGTAGGTTCGTACTCACGACCTTTTGGGTCAAGAGGCCGCTATCTTAACGTCTATGTATATTGCTTGCCAATTTTGAACTCTGACGAAGATGATAGATTTTGACAAAATAATTAAATAAACGATTGAATAAATGAATGAATGAATAAATAAATAAATAAATAAATAAATAAATAAATAAACAGTAAACGTCTGACGAAGATGATAGATTTTGACAAAACAAATAAATGAATGAATAAAAAATAAATAAATAAATAAATAGATAAACAAATAAATAAATAAACAAACATTAAACGTCTCCGCTCATGAACTTAAGAAAAATGTTTAGTAAGAAACACATCCTTTTGCAAATTGCTTTGCACTTCAATGTGTTGCCAAGACCGTCTAGTAACATCACGTATAATATAGTCAAGTGTCATCACATTGTGTAAGTGAGATATTGTTCTCGCTTTTTCTTCAAATGATTATTGTTAGTATTATACATTTGGTTCAACTTATCTGGAAGAGAGAAGTATCTGACAGAAACGATTTTATTTTTGCAATCTACGAAAAGTGTTCATAATGGCGGTTGTTTTGCGTAATGTCTTACTTTCTACAATCGGTACGTATTAGTTAAAAACACGGTGTCCTACTTCATGGCCTAGAGTCAATATATAATCAGTCTAAAGTTTGCCTGTAAACTGCAAAACTTTCAATTTATTGTGAAATTACAATACATACATAAGTATGATAACGTAAATTTATTGGCCATTTACATGCACATGTGACAATACAAATGAAATCACTGGAACAAATTTAGTACCGATGTGCGCTATCAATAATAACACTAAAATTATGCTTGGAGTATTACAATAGATTTCAATTCGTGCAATGTCAGGTGATAACAGTTGGCGTTCTACACTTGTTACATGTCACGTGATCATAGTCTGTGTTCTACATGTCACGTGATCAGTCGGAACATCTCGGGTTTATAAATAATATCAATTTTAGACGGAAAAGGCCGAGAAAGTGCGATTGGTCACGTGATAAGAACTGGTTACATATTAAGTGAAAATAGTTTGCGATCTACACTCGTTACATGTAACATGATAAGAAACAGCGTTCAATATTAGTTAAATATTACTTGAAAATAGTTTTAGATCTACACTCGTTACATTCACGTGATGAGAAATACGTTCAATATTCGTTACATATTACTTGAAAACAGTTTGCGATCTACACTCGTTACATGTCACGTGATAAAAATTTACGTGCAATATTCGTTACATATTACTTGGAAACAGTATGCGATCTACGCTCGTGACATGCTCGATAAATGTTTCGTGAAGAATCAAAATTTAAGTTTTTATTGAAATATATAGAGAGAAATATAAAAATGCCATTACACCGCACAATTCATTGAATGGTACGATATATTGCACGATAACAAATTTTACACATCATTCAAAAGAAATATAACTTCCTTAAGGCCCCCTCATTCTTCCACTCGCCAAACCCCCATATTAAATTCATATACATTTGTGCTTAACTCATTAATACCATCTTTGAAATCAATTTATGTTGCTCAAAATCCGAATTGATTAAAACATATATTATAATAAAAAATAAGGAAAAATGATAAAACAACACATAAGAAAAAACTGTATCACTGAATTTAATCACTGAAATGTGATACTAATATTTTATTTTGTAACTTTATTCATTTTACAGTAAGGGTCATTAAGTTTATGTCAAAGTTATTTATTAACCGTTTCTTGAAAATAGCAAATTTAAAGTCATGATTTCCAAGGTTTTATTCAGACACAAGGTAAGGGTTACTTCTTGTTCCATAAAAACTAAAATAATAATAATAAATCATTTATTGAAATATGATCTTTTTCTAATGAAGCTATCCGATCTTTTTTATAATGAGTCGTAGTTGTTTTTTTTCACATTGGCTGATTTAAAAGTATAAATGCCACCTAAAATTGACAGTTACATTGAGGTCTTCATATTTGTTCAGAACAATTTAAATTATTGCAAAACTTTAGGTTTACATTTACAAGATACAACAATGAACAAAGGAAATGAATTAAACAAAAATATCATAAATTTATGTTTATTTAGTTCAGAAACGGCATTTCATTAATTTTATGCTCCAATATTTTCTTGCATATCAGACTGGTGTTGCCGTTAGTTTTTACCCGAAATTTTCATCTGGTATTGGGGGTGCCATATAAGTCATGTGCTATACAATAGTGTCATTTTAGCGTATTTACCAATGAACGGTGTTCATATGACGTCATTTTGGCGTATGTAACATAGGATAACGTAATTTTGACGTAATGAAAGAAGCAATTTCATATGTTGTTGTAAAAAAATAGAAACAGGTTAAATGACAAGAATTTCCATGGAAAATGTTTTATTAAGGTTACGAATTTTATATATTATGGAAAAAGGTAGAATAAGCAAGACAAGTAACAAATTATTTAAAATATCGGAATATCTGTCCCTCGGTACCCCCATCCCCGTTGGCGGTAACTCGGCAAGTCTTTTTACATGTGCGGGTCTCCTCGGGATAGATTCTGATCCGAACCGCAAAATAAGACAGCTATTATAATTTTTAGTTCAGGTTTTAATAAAAGAAATGTTTACGATCTTTGCAACCAACTCTCAAAGATAGAACAATTACGAAAAATAAGAGTACAGCATAAACTTGGTCGCAGCCAAGAAATTACTGTAATGATTTTTTATTCCTTAAACGATTTTATCTTTTGTGTCCTCATACTGTCAAAAAGGTTGCAGAATTATCTTTTGTATCTTTTGCCATGTAATAGAATTGAAGTGATTAATTTTCTGTCATGTTTGTTAGGTTTTTGTATTGTTTTTTTTTATTCTTTTTATAAACATATTTAGATTACGTTTAACTGTTTTTACGAAGAACTGTTTTACATGCAATGTAATCTTGATTATTTGATGAGCATTTTTATGACGTGTTTTAAACATTATAAATGCCGGTATGCCATATGCCATAAATATATCACATATTATAATATTTTCGCT